GTCTGTCAGCTGGCAAGCCCACCTGGGATTGCAAAGAAACATTTTGTGACAAAAAATTCACAACTGCAAAGAAGTTGCACGCTCACTATGCAAAAATATACAATAGACATTAACCTATTACCTGTATGACAAGGGTAACATCAGGATAGTCAACTCCACGTGCAGATACATCAGAAGTAACAAGAATCAGACCTTTTGATTTCCGGAATTCATCAGAAACCCGAGTCCTGTAACTCTGTGGCTTTCTGGAATGGATCTCCCTAACATTTGAGTTCAGCTCACCAAGAAAGTCAGCAACCAATCTTGTAACCATCGCAGTTGTACAGAATACAAGAACCTGCACAGACCAATGCCTATATCACATATGTTGCATTAAGAATGTTACCAGGTTAAGGAACAAAAGACATTAAGTATTGACTCTTACAGAAACACAAGGAACCAAAAATTCACATGTAAACATTTGAAATCAATATGGAGCAGCATTCCCCAGTTGTTTAGCTACATGTTATATGCATCTGCACGTGACTGTCACGTACTGATTTCAAATAAAGCATTTGAAAGAGCAAAGAAGTCTAAATCAAACAACTTTACAGTAGGTATCTAAAATGCAAGCGTCTGGTCCACAGTGCTTACCTTATAATCAACATCATCAGCTATGTGCTCCTTAAGAAGAACATATAACAGGGAGAAGTGTTTGTCTAGAGGTGCAACAATATGCATTTGTCTGACCTGAAAATACCAAACAGTTTGAGATACCAAGAACATATATCATCAAGCACGTAAGAAACATTAGAATAAGCCATACCTGTGAGTGTGTTTCCCCAGTACCCTCTTGAACAGTATTGATAAATTCATGATCCCTTTTCAAAGCAATATGACATATTTGACGGACCTTGAGACATAGAAATAGATGTCACAATTTCTTCTCTATTCATATGACATGTGAATACAGGCTGAGGAAAAAGAATCAAACCTCCTCAGGAATTGTGGCTGAAAATAGAAGTGTTTGTCGTTGTTTTGGTACTGCAGCAATTATTTTCTCAATGTCTTTACGAAATCCCATGTCCAATAAATGATCAGCCTCATCCAGTACAAGCACTTTTACACCCGTCAACCTTGTTGCAAATCCTGCAGTATTCTCAACATGGTCTCTAAGCCTTCCAGGCGTGGCGACAAGAATCTGAGAGTGTCAGAGTGAAGTTATAGCAATAATCTACAGTAACCAAGTATTGCAGATAAAGTATGAACCAGCATATCAATGAACACTAGCTGAATTTCCTAGGAAATTAATGGTTGTGGAAGGAACCAACCGATAACCCACTTGATTGAATTAAGAAAATTCCCTTCTTTGGAGCTCAAATCAAGAAGGTAGTTGTGACTAAAATGTTTACTGAAGAAGATAGTAATGACTAATCCAGTAAGTATTCGTAAGAAGATTCAAAACTTCAGCAGCCAACCCCACACCAATCAAAAAGCATCATAAAGGATAGAACAAGATTCTTAAGGGGGTTCATCTAAGATTAAGATGTGTATATATAATGATATTTGCCTTCGATGGTAAGAACCACACCTGACAAGGGTTTGCTTGCATGCGTTTTTGCTCCAATGCAAGTCTGGTGCCTCCTATCACAACTTGAACACCGATAGAAGGATGATACTTCAATAAGGTATTAGCTTCAGCGGCAGCTTGACAAGCAAGCTCTCTAGTTGGGCATATTACAAGCACAAGAATCGGAGGTCGCTTATTATCCCGGCTCACTGGAGGCGACTTCACAACAACTTCAATTGATGGAAGCTGGAAAACAGAATGGCAATATAAGGGCATATCTAACAGTAATGCAGTCAACCTAAAAAAAATGAGTGCTTCCATTTTCCCAACCAAACTAAGAGATTGACAAGCTGCCCACATTAGATTACCTGTAAAAACAATATCCTTTCTAAATAAACAATAAGCTCAATAAGGAGAGAAACTATTAATGACTTTTATCATTTGAGAACCAAAATGCATGCAGAGGGCATTGGCAAACGCCTACAACCCTGAAGGCCCCTTGTAAAGGAAGGCATTCAACAACCATGTTAACAGGCCAAAATGCAATGATGAAATTGTAGAAATGTCAAGAGTCTTACCAAAAATGCTACAGTTTTCCCAGTGCCTGTTTTAGCCTTTGCTAGGACATCCTTACCTGGAATGAAACTAATTATAATATGCATTGCCATTACATTATAGAGCAACATGTGTTAAATACAGTCAACAGAAAAAATCCATTACAAAGAAAAAACTGTAGAGAAAAAACAATCAGTAGAATTCTTCAGGCTTGTGGCAGGCAAAAAACTAAAACACATAATGCCCCTCTTGGTTGGGTAAAGAAACCAGGATATAACAAGGTTATATTTTTTATGTCATTAAGGATGTTGGGAAGAGAAAACATACCTTTTGAGGATCACAGGAAAGAGTTGGATTCCCTGTACCA